ACGTCGGATGAAACTTGCTGTACAGCTGTTGAGAAATCTTGTACACCCTGAACATGCCTCTCCTCTTAAAGCCACTCCTGGCGGCTTCCTTCACGCATAATTTGGTTCATCAATTCAATAATACTGAGACAAAGCGGCGCCTTGTGTTCCAGAGTTACATCAGGCATGAGTTTGGCCATCATTCGGGCTTGATTCGTCGTGCTGAACCTTCCACGAAATAATTTCCAGGATCAACTTTATATTAAACTCGACCTTCAACATTACATCAATGTTTTTCTGATGAGCAGACATGGGATGTTAATACAATATTTATTTCACATTGACTAGCTTTTCGGAGAAATACCATTGATTTCCTTTCTTCAGAACTTGGAATAGGTTACACTGTTGGCCAATCCACTCAGACAAACACTTCTAACCCTAACTAAATTCTGACAGCACGACAAACAGGTATTTTAAGCACTCACTGCTTTTTGTAAGCCTCCTATTTAATCATGGAGACCAGCCCGTACATAGCGTACATGAGTTAGAAATGTGCCTGTCTCAGATCAAAAAATTAGTCCCAGATATTATGCGGAGTCACTCAGAGAGGAAAGCATACGTCGTAAGAGTGGACTACTGGGACGTTTCGTCCTACCTTGACATGGATAAGATGCAGGTGAATATGGTTGTTAGAAAGACAGAAGTAGAAATGTTCAATGACAGTTTTTCATTGTCATTCTCGACATGGCCGGTACGCTTCTCACTGCGATCGCTAGAAAACGGTCGCCTTGTTGCCGTAGTTGGTATGGGCTTTGCGGGTGCTCTGCCGAATGTCTATCTGCACCTCAAGCCAGTACTGCTACCCATCTAAACCAAAGTCTTTTTTATCACTTTTCGAGAACTCGTTGTAAGCTAGGACGTAGGCTGATAACTGTCAAAGGCCTATGCAACGTCACGGTTGTTTATCAGCCGATCATATCGTTCGTCCACATATGTTTCTAATAGAAAAGTAAATTTGGGGTTTCGTCTCTTGATTAAAGCCGCCTTCAATCTCTTTCGTTAGATGAGAAATACTCTTGAATGAAAGCAGTGCTGATTCCTAATAGAAACCTAGAACAACGCTACCTATCATGCAAATAATATATCAAATATTCTGTCCTATGGAGCTGATCGATAGAACGAGCTGAGAGAGAGGCGAGACGAAGGACGCGCATGGTGTGGTGGCGAACGCGTTACTCCCCGGAAAGGACAATAGCGCGTTCGTTCCCCACCGCAGACACCTGCGGTCCGGAGTTTTGAAAACATCTCAACATCATCTTAGTTGTATTTTACATATAGAAAATTTCGAACTCGTATTCGTCAAGCAGTGCAGCAGTAAAGGTGTCGAAAGCAGTGCTTTTCAACCGTAAACTCATGATGTTAGACGTTCAAAGGAATCGATGGTCATGACAAAACTCTCGTTGACGAAACACCTGCTTCACTACAGTTACATGTTCCAGGGAGCAGTTTTTCTTCTGTGCTGTAGATGCTGCTTAGTGGGTGGGCCTCGTGTCTTCGTATCGTTCAGTCTCGTGCTTAATCGCCTTGGTTTGCACCACTAAGTCATCAGCAGAAAATTCATATCTACGTTATAATTAGAGACGAACACCTTAGTCATCCAGATTTAGGCAGCCTAAGATGGCTCAGCTATTTTAGTAATCGATATGCACTCGTCCAACCCATCGTTAGAGTCTACGAGGTTCTTGTATCGTTAGAGAGATGGAACCGTTTAATTTTGTCATTTTTGATACCCACAGGTAGCTCACAAGCCATTTTAGTGAACGTAATATTCATTATTTATTTTGCATCGAATTTCATCGCACTTACCGTATGGATCCCAGCAATTCTCGTATTCGATTCATTTTCCTCGCACCCATTGTCCACTGAGGTCTTCGAACATTTCGCGTGTTGTTTCGACTGCTGCTTGAGCATTTCGTCTTCATTATTAATGTCGTAGAATTCTGCTAGAGTCCACTCTCTTTGAAATCTTGGAAATAGCTGAGATAGGGCGTTCCCACGTGGATTGCGTGGATTGAGGGAGAGCGATTTGGAGGGATTCAAACTAGCACCTCTGCCTCCTGATCGACGCCATCGTTAACCATTGCACTACCTCCACCTTCTAGAGAACGTTTGTCATACTATAATTAACTTATCATGCTTTCTCAGAATACATGTGGACCTAATTTGTTCGAATAGACTCCGAACCAACCCCTTGTTCTTTAAATTTACGTGATTGCAAGCTCTTGGTTGAAATGACGTGTAAGATTCAAACCACGTATACGCACGCATCCTAGCGAATTCGTGCTTGAATATATTTACGAATATCCAGAAAGCACAGGTAAATCTGGAATAGAAAGATGATGGACTACATTGCCAATATTTGCATGCATCTCAAGATAAGTTACAAAGCTCCCAGAACTTCTTTGGTGTCATCAATTGTGTTGTAACAGATGGTCGGTGCGGTCGTCATGAGTTCGGCCGCAGTGTGAGAACTTCTTATATTCTTCTTTCCACATTAAAATAACGATTATTGGTCGAGTGTGGCTATGTCTCGACTCTCAAGAGAAATGTAGTTGAATCTCCAGCTCACTCACAGGCAGTAGCCTGCAATTTCTTGTATTAGGTTACTCGGAAATTAATGCACGATTTCAGCCTGAATCACTAAAGTGGCATATCCCAGTTAAGAACTTCATTAACCGAAATAGAAACCATTGGAATCTACACACTTTTAAGAACGAGAAGCAGGTTCATTTTGGGTTCACAACACTGGAGTTTTGGAGAGCATGAAGTCGTTGAAGGCAGTTTCGGTCTACGTTTACTTCTTGAACCACTTCTGCCATAGAAAGTTGTTAAGATGCTTGCAAAGGTGGTGATTGGTAGGCAAGAGGTCTGGCAAGTATGGTGGATGAGTAAGGTTTTCGTGCAACCCATCTCGTTCCCAGTTGGTCGTTTTCTGTTGGCCAATGAGGCGCACAGCCGTGGAAGTTCTTGGTGCAGTCCGTCGACTTGCTGGACTCATTTCGCCACCGTACTCGTTTCATCCGGATACGGGAAGGTGTGATGGATCAAACAAGGGGCAAATCACCAAGCAGTGCAGAAGATACACCGAATCCACTTCAAAACGGTAATTTTCCGATCATCATTAAATTTGTACGGCATCAATTTGCCGAGGTGCTTAGACCTTCCAATTTCCTTTAGTTAAGCCGAAACTATTGAAATGCTTAAACCGTGTTCTAATGCAAGTTCTCGAAAAGTTTTGCCTGTATTTGTCGCAATTGAAGTCTTCAAGTCATCGCTCTCAATAGCAAAAGAACCACATCCGCGACTTCCCTCATCTTCAACACCGAATTCGCCACGACAAGTTTTTGAAACCAACGTTGTACTGCACATTCTTTAAAACCTCTTTAGCGCTGTACTTCACCATTATTTCGAGGTGTTTGTGCTGCACTACGACTGAGTTTGAATCCACACATCCATCGAAACTCTTGTCTCGATAATTCTGTTTCTAACGCGTAAAACTCGTCAGAGATACAACTTATATTCTAATTCACTTATGCAAAGTGAAAGTGCATAAACCAAACCTCACACGGATATGTAATAGTAGATTACTCAGACAAAAAATATTGCTGAAACATAATGTAAGAAAAGTACTTGGATACCTACTTCGATGCTTGGATAGCGCCCATCTCCGCTGGTTATGCGGGCCCCAGCATAAAATCCATTTTTTCGGAGTTTTGCTGGTTTAGCTATTGTGATTCCCTGAATTCCCGTGCTCAGCCTAGCCAAAGTCTGCCCCGGGTCGTATCGTCACCATCAGGCAGTCGCCGCCGTTATGCTACTAGTTTGATACCAGGACGGCGGTGAATCCTGGTACTGGTTTATTCTTCGCTGGGCTTCGTAATGGAAGCCCTAGCCTCCTTAATTTTCGAGAACCTGCTGAGGAAATGAATGCTGCCGCTGTACATCGCAGCCCGAGACCCAAGAACAGCTCCCAACTACAACAAGGCGGTAAACCGTTGGGAGGTTATAAGAGGAATAAAAGCACAAATCCTACATTGATTTCCAGGCAACCTAATACACATGATATGATGAGTAGCGAATTTAATACTAAATAAATGCTAAGTAGTAACTTCCTAATATACATGGTTTCGCTTCGCTTCTGTAAATCGAGACTTTATTTCGTGTGTTAACACTCTCATCTCGAAAAAATGGCTCAGTTGCATGACGCAGCTACTGAGCACTGTTGAGTCGCGAAACTGTCTTACATCTTAGTGAATCGCTTCTGTGGATATACTTAGCGACCTCTGGATACCTTATGGATACATTCCTTTGCAGATAATGAACAGCTCGCTATCCTCAATCATCGTTCGTGTGCTTCTTCTATGCGCACTCTTCGCTCTCTCCAGCAGGTACGTTCTACGTCCCACAGATGTACACGTTGTTCAATTAATACGTATTATGAATGCGTCGTTTTCTTGTTCAGCAATCGCGAGGTTTTCAAACAGCATACATTTACTTCCACAGAGAAACACAATACAATACAACGCTAGCTGACGTTTCTCCAAAAAACCCACCGCTTTTTCGTGACTTTCAATGAAGAAGTTTAGAACAGCTGATTATAGTTGCATGTGGTTGACGACTGCACTATGCCACGTCAGAAATTGATGCGAACACGTGGGGTCAGGTCGCGTATGACCTCTGGGCATACGTATTCATATATAGCTTAATCCCTGCCTTGTTCTATTATGGTATGCCACGAAAGTTGGACAAAAGAAGTATTGTATACTTAGTGGGCGTGGTCTTCGATAACTTTCGCTTAACCAATATTTCTGACCCACACAATACAACCGCTCATTATCGCTACATATGCGTAGTGCTAAGAACCAGCGCCGCCTATCTACCAGCATAGTGTTAACGCGTTCACGACGATATGAATCTTATGTAACTCACACTTGTGAAGCATTTGTTTGGGCTCATAGCCGATGTTATTTATCTTGTTAAAAATTGCTAGAACCTACTTTTCCTTGCTAAAAAAGGATTACCGTGGTGAAAGACCATACCTTCTGGCGTTTTCTCTCTTCGAGGATTATATCTCGTGCATCGAAAAATCGGAATTGGGATTTTAATCTACGTATCCAATGGGCACGGAGACATCGCCAAATGTGTCGCTGTTCGTCACTGCCGGCCTCTTTTACGGAGATATGATTTCTAGGATGGAAATTAATATTTCAGAGAAATCATGTATACCCAGAGTGGTACCACAAACTCCTGTTAGAAGTCTATCCATTATTCACATTTTCAGACTCTGGTTATCGTATTTAAGGAAGTTGTATACGAACCAGAATTGCTGCGGATGTATTGAAGCCCTTCATCTAGGGTTTATATCTTAACATAGTTACGTATTTATAAAGAGATGGTTACGTCTTTATGGTAGTTGGTTATTTCCATTAAAAATTTTCACAAAACAACTTAAGCTCATTGATTTTGATGAGGATCAGTGGACGACTCCCCTTCCTCGTGAAGTTCTCAGCTACTCCACTACTAAATCGTCTAATCACCACCCTGTATAATTATAAAAGTGCATGTACTTGAAAATGCGTTGCTACTGGGTACTGCTTGCAAACCGGTTATTTAACAAAGGTTCTAAAGGTCCAAAATGGTCCCCACGGAAAGTTGCAGAACGGTAAAATACCACGGTATATTCCTTAATTCTCCATCATCTCTCTAGAACTAGCATGTGATAACGAACGAATGCTTCAGTTACTACCTGGCGATACAGTCACCGACATACAATCGTGGATGGCATGCAGCCAAGAAATCCCAACTCCGAGCATTGGCTGGTTCACGAAATTGCTTTTTTTCGCCGATTAACTGTATGATCACTCACGATGTAGCGAAATATAGAAAACTCGCCGGCTCCACTTGAGTGTAGCGAGCCGCACGAGCATTATGATTATTGTTAGATCACATCCGAATATCACATCTCAAACGATCCTCAGATGCATTCTCATCACGAGTGTTAGTAAACGTTTTTGGTTCTCATGTTTAGAAACGTTTCTCTGTAGTCAGGCTTATGTTCATCGATAAATCGTTATAACAGGACATTTAAAAACTACTAATACAAATATATATAAAACCATGACATAACAGACAACAAACGAACTCAGTTTTGAAAAAAAAATGTTCGAAAGCTTGCACCAAAAAAGTCACTGCTTCCAAGGCAAGATGGAAGCACAGTACATAACGAGAAACACGGCTGCACTACAAGGAAGCGACAAGGCGGCCCGCAACAGATGCACTACTTAACGTACGGCCATAACCTGTAATACGGATCCTTGTATAAAATGCTCTATGTATGTCAACAGGATACAAATCTACTTATTCAACCACGGTAAAACGCTGCGTTTCTCGAGTATGGAACATCCTGAAGACACTTCCGGTAATGGACTGGTTGTTGGTTTTCCCAACAAACAGCTATCGAAAGACTTAGAAAAAATCGCTTGTTTGAAGAAGGATATGGATATATCGAAAGAGGTAGAATTCGCAACCTCGTTGTTTCAACATCACATTCGAAAAAAAAGGCAAAAGAACTGGTCCCTTCGGAACTGATCGGTGTCGATTGGCACAAGATGCAATTATTCGTTCATTTTGTGGATTTCAGGTCAATGTTTTATTGTAATAATTTGCCAGGACTCATAAACTTATGGTGCATTAGGAAGTCACCATAGGTATCAATGGATGCAAATCTAAATGAAGAAGTGTTTCTATGCCTCGTTGTCAACCTTGAGCTGAATGAAAAATCCTTTCCTAGTAGACTAATTGTGACACTGTCGAATGTTACAATGCGATATAGAAGCGAATCATTTTTTTAGTGCAGAGAGAGTTAGTAACAGTTATGTCGTTGAAATCTGCTTGGTTCGTATGGGACTCATTTGTCAACGTTCTTTTTTAATGCCAAACTTTGTCGTATTTTCTACAAATGTTTGGTGTGGTTTTACTTCAGTAAATCTCCGCAAACAATCATTGTCGAAAGGAGCAAGTCGTTCCCAACCATTCTCGTGTGCATGGACTTTAGCCAAATCTTTCTACCCAATTTGGTACAAGTACATCGTTAACGCTCGCTGGCTCAACGTAATGTTGATACTGCGAGTGGCTTCAGCCGCTTTGTGCGCGATCTAGATTCTTAACGAAAACGTGAACCCACAACGATAGGTCATCGCTTTGAAGAAATCGAAATCACCAAAATGTTAGCCAATGAAAACAAAAAACACGTTAATGCACTCTTGTCAGATCATAAAGACAGTTTAGAGCGCAATAATAATTATCCACATTAAGACATCAACATGCATTGGATTAACTTTAAAGCTTTACGCTTAGGTGCAAAAAGGCCCTTTTCGAAAATAGCTTGGTTGAACAAAGTTGAACTGAGCGACATGGATTCGAATTTACAACGGTATCGCCCCATGCAGAAACAAATTTCGAATCGCCCCATGCAGAAACAAATTTCGAGGTTTTTATGTTCAAGAGTTGTGAGCAAATACTTTTAGAGCCACATCCTTCTTAGAGCAAAACTACACCCTGATCATACCATTTCGCACATTTCAAGTAAAATTGAAATTATTATTAGGTAGAGCTTACGATGTCATCGATCTTCAAGATAGACCTAACACATTCCGAAGCCTGTTTGATTGCAGACAGCGTCACCAGCAAAGGTTGTAGAACGTCCTCTTCGCGAATATCAGTAACATATCCCTAAAAGTATTTAACAAGCATTGAAGACATAATGTTGGTGAGATACTTTCAAAGTTTCGGACCTCAGATTTCCGCGATGGGGAGCTGAGGTCATAGTTCATTAATTTAAAACAAAACAGACAGTAATTCAACACAGAACGAGGAGTTTAATGGGCACGTGCCGAAAAATCATTAGAATTTTAGCTAATCTCAACACTTAGCGAACTTTATTATTAAAACCAAAAGCCATCATTACCTACAACTTCTGCCTAAAAGATAAGTTCTCACTCTACAACCGTAAAATTCTGGTTCTTCGAGCGTATAAGTTATAGTATTCGGTTTTCCTTTTCTTCGAAACTCGTTTTCTGAATGTCAAGTAACGACATAGAATATTGTAGAACACGATACAACGATGTTGCCAAACGCAGATATCTGAAGCGACCGCGATTACGCTTATAACTCTATAGATATAAATTATGACTCAAACCTTCCCTTGAATTTGAATTCTAAACAGATTTAAAGCAAAAGAGTACGTAAAAAAATACTCATACCAATTAGTGATAAGGCAAAGCGGCTTTTACAGGTCTACCAAAGTTCCGAGCACAGAAGCACTCTCACTATTTTCTTTATCAACCCTTCTCTCTAACAGTTATTGAAAAACCACCAATGGTCTTATGTCTTAATAATAACATTCAGAAACTGTTAATTTCACTTAGCAACATATCACTAGAAACTGCAACACATCTAAATGACAATTTGGGATCTTTGTGTTGGAACTGAACTAACACTGCGAGGCATAAGAATGCTTTGAAGCATTAGAGACAAGACTGAAAAGATAACAATAACAATAATTCTACTCTACCTTTCTAACATTCACACCGTAATCAGCATTCCCATTAGCGTGTTGGTTACGCAATTCAGTAACGGTATGAATTGGAGATAAACCAGCGTTTTCAGCAAGAGTGTAAGGAACCTAAAAAAATGGATGCCAACTAGCCAATCGGCATACCAACTAAGCCTGAAGATGATGAGATATTTCACATCATATCCTGCCATGAAAAAGAATAAGGAATAAATAGAAAGTGAATACATAAGCCCGAAAAATTCCAACTTTTCGTGTTACTAGTCTCCATGACCAAGCGATGGTGTTCCGAGCTGTATACCAATCTACATCGTGTATTTTCCAAAATTTTCGTGAAACACTGCAATCCAACAGAGAACAACGTGTTACCCACCCATTATAGTGTGCCATATATTATTGGGAAAGCCCATAAGGACTGTACGTCCTAATCAGTAAGTGGGTAGCTTCACTTCAGTGCAAAAGAACCCACCACTTCTAAGGCATCTGCAAATGCTCGCCAGCAATACTGTTGAGCACCATGTTGTTTCTGAGCTAACTGGCGTAATTTCACAGCGACTTCCATTTCTGGTGCACCCCCTCCTAGAACAGCGGAATTTTATGAAAATTATGGATAACGGAATGTTAATTAATGCGTCAGAGATTACCTGGGAGAAGTGCCTTCTTCTTAACAAGGCAACGTATTACACACAAAGCATCATGCAGCGAACGTTCAGCTTCTTCAAGAACCAACTTATTTGAACCACGCAGTAAAATGGAGCAAGCCTGACCTGGGTTCGCGACACCGGTGACCTGTAACCAGCTATTCGTGAAGTACTGATGTTCAATACATTCAAAGTAAATGTAACTTATGAAACGGCATCTATAGAAGTGACCAGCAACACTTGCAAACAAGTCACTGCATTGCGGTAAACAAAACACATAAAACGATCAGAAAACAGAAAAAAAATCGAAATAATAAATGAATACAGGAGAAATAGTGCTAACTACGAAAGCATGTCTTCCATGTCTACCTGCATCACGCACGACAAAAAAGTGTAAAAATTTAGTACGAAAGTGCCACTCCACACCTTGATCACCCTTTCATCACCACCACAAGGAATTTCCTCAACTAGATCAGCTGTTCCAAGCGCTTCAGGCAGGAAGTGATCCAACGATGCAATAGGTCGACATCCAAGGATCTAAACTGTTAAGTGAGTACCTATAGTCATATACCAACACAACCCTTTTCAAACAGTTATCCAAAGCAGAACCAATTAGATCAATCATTCTGCAAAAACCAAATAAATAGTAGAGCCACAAAACATAAATGAAAAATTCCGAGTAAAGCGTTTAACTGACCTTGTCTTCTTATTCAATACTTAACACTGTTTCCATAATATTAACTTTTTATTTGTTACCTCCCAAAACTTTTCGCGGCAGGGCAATATGTGAAATATAACCACAGCGAAGCTGAAATATTTTCAAAACTCGGGGCCGCAGGTGTCTACGGTGGGCAGAGAACCATGTTATTACCCTTGCCGGGGCCAACGCGGTCATCACCACACCATGAAAGTCGTTTGTTTCCCCATTCACTCAGCTAGTTTTTCTACCTTGACACTTCACACTTGAAGGGCCCGTCCTCACTGGTTGTGCGGGCCACAGCATAACCCCCATTTGTCGGAGATTTGCTGGTTGAACCACTGTAGAATTAAACCATGGTTCCTTGGAATCCCGAGGTCAACCTGGCCAAAGTCTGCCTCAGGTCTTCACCACCACAGGCAGTCCCAGCCCTTGTGGATCAAAGGAAGATTTCTCACCATGCGACTTTAATACTAGGACGGCGGTGTATCCTGGTATTGGTTTACTCTTAGCTAGGCTTCCTGATGGAAACGCCTCCTGAAGTTTTTCTATCTACCAACACTGTCAGCATTCATTTCCCATCGCAGACACCTGCGGTCCGGAGTTTTGCAAATATCTCAGCTTCATTACGATTATATTGTTTCCATACTTTCTTATAGTTCATGTGTACTGAAAAAACACCTGATGTTGAAGAACATCAGTGTATCTCTTAGCGAACTAGAATGAATAAAACAAAAGTAGATAAGACTCGCAAAACCGAAATGTGAGTAATATCACATCATTTCAGTGACACATTACCACATTTCATAACACCACAACAAAGACTGCAAAGATGAAAATGAATGTTTAGAAGATGGTGGAAATTACCTTCGAAAAAAACTCGATATCCTCTCGTTCAATGTCCTTAACGACCATGATCTTCATCTTAGCCAAGAAATGAAGAGAGAGTTCGTTCACAGCATCTCTGGAAACATAATTATACCCAGAACACCGGTTTTGGATACAGCAGAAGGCGGAACTCCTCCAGACCACCCGCAATTCAACGTTCCTATGGAAGTGAAATTCGCACCTGAGTATGCTCTTCTGTATCAGTAACACACTACAACCCGCTTTCTTAATCTGCTTGCATATCTCAAGCAAATACTGCCGTTCTTCTTTTAGTGCACGATCCATTTGCGTATAATCGGAAATGATGACTTGGTTTTCCATCTAAAAAATCAAAAACACGCTGAAACACTGACTTCAAAACGACAACAAAAACTTTTTATTACATCAGTTTTCGGTGGGCTGATCTGAAATTGAATGAGACCGATCTTGGCTTTCTCGACACGGGTAGGACCTCCACGACCCATTGCCTTCTGGTTAATAAGGGCTCCATCTATCAACTCAGACTCCTAGATGGAAGATAACTTCAAGGAAACGTATTCAACATTTTATTAGAATAAGAACGGCAGTGCACCTGATAACGGAAATGAACACTCACCTCTACAGTATCTCCTATTTTCTTGACGATTTTGATCATTTTTAGGTTGACAGAAGAGTCGCGGATAGGGTCAATGATGCGCTTAACAGCATTCACTGCCATAGGTGCCAATAGCCAGGAATACTGTGAAACAACCTAAAAAACATGTTATACTTGGATGCTTGGACGGCCGGTCTACACTGGTTGTGCGAGCCTCAGCATAATTCCCATTTTTTCAGAGTTCTCCCGGTTTAGCCATTGTGGTTTCCTGGAGTCTCGAGGTCAGCCTAATTAAAGTCTGCCCCAGGTCGTCACCACCACAGGAAATCACCACCCTTACGTGTTAGGAGATTTGCTATCATGCGACTACTTCGATACCAGGTCGGTGGTGGATTCTGGTATTGGTTTACTCTTAGGTGGGCTCTCGGATGGAAACGTCGAAGACCCAGCTTGGGAGGGCTTGCTTAGAGGATGAATCCACCACTGCACATCCCATTCCGATATTCAGGAACACCCAGCCACGATGAGGCGGTAAACCGTTGGAAGGAACAGAGTGTTGTACAAGATAATATACGGCGCGAGTGTGAAAAATGCCCACAAATCTGAACAAACTTCACGAATCTATTTATTCAGCATTCAAAAGTTCCACATCAGCTAAACTGAAAATTTTCAAGGCTTTAGGTTGCTTGGAGGTTTCGAAAAACCACATGCGTCTTCCCTCTCTAAAACTTGATACTCCATTTCTAAACAACATTTTAAACTGGCGTTCATGCCATATATCACCACTAAAAAACCCTTCCTGATTGAAGCACTAAGCAGAATGTTGACTTCATTTCATTATGCAAATTGGAAGTCGTGGACGGATGTAGGTTGCAACATTCTGATTTGAACAAGGACAAAGTCGGCAAGCACATTTTGGTACCATTTGAAGATGCCGGATGAAGTTGATATCACAAGGATAGAAAACTTATGAAAAGTTAGCACGTAAGCAAAGTTTACATAAGTTCGGAAGACCCAAATCGAATTAAAGGTTTGAAAAAATCGACAAGTGAACACAGCATAAACGAAACCAAAGGCAAAGAGACCATCGTTATAAACAATATTTTGCGCGGCATTAATCATCCATTCCCTGAACGGTTGTCGACAAAGGATAAAAGTGTCCCTCTTATAACAGGGATGGTCAGCGTAATGACTTTGCAAAGACGTAGCTTCTGAACTGTTTCTAAAGTAGACTTCCATAAACTAATGACTTTCTATGAGCTACTTAGACCGAGTCAACCACTATAACTTCTTGACGATAAGTTTTTCTGGATACATTCCAGAAATTCGAAAATGAACCGCAGGAAGGAATCCCTCGTAATCCGGCGTGATCTCAGCAAGTATTTAGGCCTGTCATTCCAAAGTAAAGGACACATTACGCTTTTATGTAAACTCTTTGCTGTTGGTCTCCACGTGACATATTCAGTGGAAGAATCATAGAAAGCGGTATGTGTGTAAAGATGCTATTCTGTGTTCAACGTGATTGAATTTCTGGTTTAGCATTTTTTCTGTTTGGTTACGATGGTGTTTGGCGGGGTAGATTGCGGTCAAAGTGACCTTTCCAGGCTATAAGGAAGACGAAATCCTCTGAAACGTCACTTTGTTCGTAAATAAAGAAAAGAAAGGTAACACTTCGTGTTTGTTAAACAAGAACATAAAGAAAAACTTCTTGAATCGCGGGCAACATCTGCACTCGATATTGATCGATCGAAATGGACTAATCCTCGTGTACGATTGCGCCCTATCACATGCCTTAGAAGCAATTAAGGAAAGTTGCAAAGGGTGAGGTATGAACTTATTACTCAAGAGACGCCTATAACCACCACCAATAAAAACCAGTGAAGAAAGTCATTTCGGGCGATTAGTGGGCTTCGAAAACTGAGTACCTCATTTTTATGTAAAATAACCTTGTCTTTCAATAGAAGAGATGCCTAGCTCTTTAATGTTTTTGTTTCATCAAAAAGTCAAGTATGAATTCGGATCTGAATTTGAAAGAGGTTAAGAAACGGAACCAGTTTTTGAATGACATAGTAGAAGCAGGGTGGCGATCACAATACAGTGAAATGACATTAATTACCTTGGAATTAAGAGATGTTGTAGCCATTTTGACAAGAAGTTCGTCGTTTGCAAGATCAACACGAGTGCTCATATTTTCTAAGATTTTTCCCGCCTCAACTGCAGCTGCTTGAAATGACTCAGAGATAGTGGTGGGATGAATTCCTAAATAAAGTTGATAAGATTAGTGCAATGGAGGAAGAAATAGGGATTCGGTGTAAGGAATAGACCATCGAAGCCGCACCTTTCTGTAAAAGAGTTTGTGCTGCATCTAGAAGGGCGCCAGCGATTACTACCACGGTCGTTGTTCCGTCTCCTGCCTCAATATCCTGAGCTTTTGAAAGCTCAACCAGCTAAAAGAAAACAACGAGGGCTGAGAACGTAGTACTTAATAAAGTGCTGTTGAACTCTCTAAAAGAACAAAACCGTCTGAAGAAGCAGACATGTAGTTCGTTGGTAACATAGCAGGTTAAATGGTTAATCGATTTCGGCTATCCTAGATCATATTTTTGTGAACCCAACACAAATAAGCTTATTCCAAAATAGGAAGAAATGATTTACATGGACCTCCCAACGGTTTACCAGCCTCGTCGTGGCCGGGAGGTGTCTATGGGTGCTGGGCTGCGACCTACAGAGGAGGTATTCATTCACCCGGCAGTCTCCCAAACTGAAAAGGAGTCCGGCGTTTTCACCAGGAAGACCAACTAAGAATAAACCAATACCAGGTTCAACCACCGTTCTAGTATGAAACTATTCGCATGGCGGCAAATCTCCCTCTGATCCACAAAGGCGGCGAGTTCCTGTAGTGGTGACGGCCTTGGGCAGATATTAGCCCGGTTGACCTCGGAACTGCAGGGAAGCACAATGGCTAAACCAGCAATACTCCGAAAAATGGAGACTATGTTGGGGCCCGCACAACCAGTGAATACGGGCAGTCCAAGTATCCAAGTAAGCAAGTAATTGACATGGATAGGTGCCACCCTAGACGGTATCGTTTCCAAACCAATAACGTGGTACCATTTTCGCAGTAGGATGGACGAGGCTCATCTGATTGAGGATGGTTGCACCGTCGTTTGTAATCGTAACATCGCCATTGCCTGACTGAATCATTTTATCCATTCCACGTGGACCAAGAGATGTTCTCACAGCATCAGCCACCGCCTTCGCCGCCACGATGTTGCTAAAAAGTTACATTCACAACAGGATCGAATTAAGACAAAAAGTGGAACTCGCAAATTGTGAAACCGATAGTCGACTTTACCTGCTGCGAACACTCTCCGGCTTATCCTTGTCTTTGAAAAAAGCCTCTTTCCCCAAAGTGGGAGCAGTCAATGTTGCAGCCGACATCCTGAAAGGCATATGGATGGATACCGAACAACATACCGCGAACACGGACACCGTGACACTGAGTACTGCCAATGAACTCTCTCAAACCCTCTGCAACAGCTCAAATAACTCATCAGCATTCGAATCCTGCAGCTATGAAGCCTCATGGGCTGCACACAGACGTCTCTTCGCCAAGAGCGTCATAAAGAAAGAGCCTCATTCAAAAATCAAGCCGGCTTTCCTGTTTCTCAGCGAAGATCATCGACCAGCGAGAGCTCCCTGGTGGCTCGTTTGTTTAATGAAACATGAGTTATTCGACGGCTGACTAAGTTCCATTGGAAACGAGTGATACATAACTAACGAGATAACAAGGCTACATAGTACACTACCCCAAAAAGCACATATTTCGATGGAAGAAACGACACGGTCACCACACTGTCCAGGATATATTTGAAGACAGGCAGAAAAATCTAGCGCTACTGCTGATGGGCATGAAAAACAGTGCATTCGCTGTAGGACCAAGATTCCACACGAGGGCAAGCTGGTATCCTTTGTTTCAGCTCAGCTTTCCGACAATGTATCCGGAGATCTCGCTTTTATGAGAAGTCATTGTTTTGATCCGGTATTTTCTAGCATGAAGCCGACAGAAGATTCGGCCATTGTCGACGCCGTCAATGAAAAGGAACTTCCAGAGAACTCCAGCCATATTCCAACGAAGAGAAAAGGTCCAACTGATTCGGACGATGAACCCAGCAAGAGGAAAGGTACACATTGATTTCGAGCTTTCATATGTTGTCCGATGATCTGTGGCCTGTTTGAGAACGAAGGTTGAAATTCGAATCGACTTATCTGAGATCGATACCGTCGGCTACACAGTACGAGAAGTCCTTCATGCACCGAGATGTTATAACGCATGTCATATCGACTGAGTAAGTGACCTGATTTAAGTCAAGTACATTCTTATAAATCAAATTCTTTAAAGGTAAGAGTATTGACTAGCGTTGTTTCAGGACCGATTTCATCATCACTGCAAGTGTTGATGGGCACTTAAAATTTTGGAAGAAGAAATACGCGGAGGGCGTTGAGTTTGTGAAACATTTCCGCTGTCACTTAGGTGTGTTGGACATATTGATGTGATTATGTTGTTAGATTGAACGCTTCGAACTCAGTTTATATTCACAATGGTGCAGAGATATTTGAGAAGTCCAAACCGCAGGTGTCTGCGTTGGGAAATGAAGATGCGATCACCCTTTCCGGGGACTACGCGCTCATCACCACAGCATACGTGTCTTTCATTTCGCTTTTCAATCAGTTAGTTTTCTATCTATCAGGGCTATCAACAGTCAGCCATCAACAAATGGTAAACGCGTTAGCCCCCGGACAGGGCAATATCACGTTCGTTCCCCACTGCAGACACCTACGGTCAGCAGTTTTGCAAATATCACAGCACCATTGCAGTTGTATCACACGTAGTACCTTGCCGTGGAAAACTGTGATGAGCAGTAAATAAAAAAAAGTCAACATCAGCTTATAGCCTCCTTTTCTCACCTGTGCACAAATTTCAACGGCACTCTGTTGGCTACAGTATGTCAGCAGGACAGAAATGCGAAAATTTTCGACGTGGAGAACTTCGACATGATCAACATCCTCAAATTCGATTTCGCTCCTAAGAAAGCATGCTGGGTACATCAAGGTATCATTTCTGCTTATCTCTGCGTTTCTCGTTCCTTTACAATTTCTCATGTATTTGGAATCTGCTTGTTTTTTAACCTATAAGAGCACTAATTTTTTTAACCCCAATATCGTTGATGCCCATTTATCCCTAAGTTTATTCCATATTTGTAAAATAGACTTTGTGTTTTTAATTTCGGATCCTTCCAACGGTTTATTGCCTCATCGTGGCTGGGAGGTATTCCTGGATGTCAGGCTGCGATGTACGGCCAAGGGATTCGTCTCAGCAGGGCCTGCGAAGCTGAGAGGGAGTCCGACGTTTTCATCTGGAAGCCCAGCTGAGAACAAACCAATACCAGGATCCGCCACCATCCTGGGATCAAACTGGTCGCATGTTGGCAAATCTCCCTCTGATGCACAAGGGTGGCGACTATCTGTGGTGATAACGACTGGGCGCAGACCATGGCCAGACTGACCTGGGGACTCAAGGGATCCACAGTGGTTAAACCGGCAAAACTCCAAAAAAAAAATACGAATTATGCCAGGGTCTGCACAACCAATGAAGACGGGCCATTCATGTATCCATGTAAGTAATTTCGAATTAGATTATTTGAAATATATCCGTGAGATTTGCTTTAAACTCGAAAATATTTGTGTTCTGCCTAGGTGCTGATGCGGTCAATTACCTTGCTGTTTGTGACGGCGACTCTGGCAAAATATTTATTGTTGACGGAAAAGGGAATGGCAGTGTCCTGCACACGCTTGACAATCTTCATCATGCACCTGTTCTGCAAATTGAAGTCCATTCCTTCAGTCTTTGGTTTTCTGTTTTGCGAACAAACTATATTTTATCCACTTTATATCCATCATCTTACTTTCCATACTGGCTGAGAGAAAGGCAGAGGAAGAGCCTCAGTGGTGCAGTGGGAAACACGTGAGCCCCCGGAGAGGGCAATCACGGATTGGAATCTGGCCTGGCGCCGAAGTTTTACAAATATCTCAGCCTCATAGTGGTTGTATTTCACATAATACATAGCTCTAAAAAAGAATAATATACAGCAAAGGAAAGGTTAACATTGAGATATCCACTTTATCTTTTTCAGTATAACCACGTAACAGATATTGTTATATCTGTTGATGATACTGGTATGATTGAATATTGGACCGGAGCAAGGAAAGGGTACAAATTTCCTGATAACGTAAAATGGAGGTATAAGACCGATACGGATTTGTATGAATTTGTCAAAGTGAGCTTCTGACTTCAACATTCTTCCTTATTGTTTATTTTTAGTCAGTTTATTTTCATTTAGATGAAAACTGTACCAGTTTCTTTGGCAATTAATCCTAAAGGGACCATGTTTGCTACCTATGGTGAGGACAGAAGAATAAGAATTTTTTCATTAGCTTCTGGAAAACTATTGAACACTATTGATGAAACACTGAATAAGTACCAAGCGGAAGCTAAAGACAATCGGTACTTCTGGTTATTATTAGTCTTATGACATTTAGTCTTGTTTTGCTTCCAATATGTAGGTGATTTTAGGGATGTAATAGTTGTGTATTACTCTGGTTCACCGTTCGTAATGTTTAGAACAACGACCATGTGGTGTTTAGATCGTATGGATTGCAAAATATGGAATGGAATAGACGAGTTGCATTGGAGAAGGAAATGGATAAAGATCGTGCTAACTCTTTTAAGAATGTTCGGTTGTGTTGGGACTATTCTGGTTACTTCTTGTTATATCCCTCACCGATAGGAGTAAAGGTTTGCCTTTGTTGGTTACACAAGTTCCTTATACAGTTAGAACATTTCGCTTTAGGATATGTCTCGGAGCTTCTATATTAAGTTTAGACAGGTACAAAGAATGGAGCTGTTATACTAAACTTTGCATTGGATTTGGTTTTGATCCATTAGGAAAAATCTGTTTGCACTATGGTGTTAGACTTTCTTTTCAAAGTTTTCTTTTAAGGTTTATAACGTGTATACAGGACAGATTGTTCGAGAAATAGGTAAGGAAGAAACTATGCGCTTTCTGGCCGTATCCCTTTGCAGGTACTTCACTATTTATTCTTTGGAACAATACTTTTAAGAGGATAAATCTTTCGCTATGACTTCTCGAATCTAGATCAGTGCCAGATATTCGCGCACGGCTGCAAGGTGCTGCGGCAACTATTGCGACAGAGGCAGCAGACAATCCCAATTTGGTTAGGACTGCTGAACCCGATCCTATCATGGTTGGTTTGAAGTTTTTGTCTTAGGTATTTGGTTCCATCCTCTAAATTGGTTAACTCGTAGAGCACGACTTTAATTAATTTCGAACAGCAGGTGTTGTGAGAAGATCGACGCCGTTTATTGATATCGGCATTCCTTTTCAGTTGTTTATTTTACCACACAGAGGTTTCTGGCTATATTTTTCGTGTTCAGTTAGTAGCTTCAGGAGCACAGTCTAGTATACCAGACGGCCACAAAAGCTATTATGTACACTTCATAGCATAAAAATGTTTTTCGACAAGCTCGTTGTTCAAGGGCCAGAAACTTACTGACGAGAGAGGTATATGGATTGTTTCACGGTGACTAGATCTTAAAAAAGATACAATAGCATAAGAGCTGTTGCCATTGAGAAGGGTATATCTGACTTCTATGTGGGAATGCAGATCGAGTAGCAGAAGTTGATTTCAACTCGCACATTTTGCTGCGCGAAGTTGGACAGTGAGTGAATGCGACAGCTACAGAAATTAAGTCATAGTACTTTAAGTGTTAATTATATCTTACACGTCTTTTTTTCTCCACATTTACCTTTTCATGCATGGATTATATGGATTGTGCGGCATAGTTTCAGGTTTGCTGTGCCCACAGGAAAAATCGTTTCTATTTATTTACAAACACGGAGCCGTATTCAGTAGACGAATCCGATGAGTCAGCAACTAGTCGGGATATATTTAACGAACGCCCTAGGAAGGAGGACCAAATTACTGCTGTTGAGGTATTGATCTTTTCTACATTAGATTTAGCTAATGAAAGGGTATATAATTACGGTTTTTAGCAAGAAGGAGATGTGGCGCATGCTACTGAGGATGCTGTACTTCACACCACAATGGGAGATATTCGCATACGTCTCTTTCCTAATGAATGCCCACGAACTGTTGAGAATTTCAGCACACATGCAAGGAGGGGCTACTATAATGGACTGACATTCCACAGAGTGATTAAATCATTTATGATACAGGTGATCGATTGTATTCTTCTTCTCAATGTTAATGTTGTTCTACGATAACTGTATTCTGTATCAGTGCACTGTTTCATACCTACTTGGATACTTGGGAGGTTTGCCCTCACTGCTTTTGCGAGCTCCAGCACACTCTCTATTTTTTGGAGTTTTGCTGGTCTACCCATTGTTCCCCTGGAGTCCGATGGTCAGCCTGACCAAAGCCTGGTTCCAGGTCGTCACCACCACAGGCAATTACTGCCCTTGTGGATCAGAGGGAGATTTGCCACCATGCGACTAGTTTAATACCAGGATGGTGGTAGATCCTGGTACTGCTTTGCTCTTAGCTGGATTTCCTGACGGAAACGCCGGACTCTATCTCAGCATGGAAGACCTTACCGGGGATGAATTCCCTCACTGTGCATCACGATACCCAGGAATACCTCCCAGCCACGACCAGGCGGTAAACCGTTAAGAGGACACTGTATCATTGATAAGCCAACCCGTGGTTATCATTAGAATTTTGATGCTACTACGGAAACCGACACTGCAAGAATAAACGGCTGTGGTTAATAGGCTCAGATGATCCCAACTTTGGATAAGGCGAAGATCTCGAAATTGCAGAATAAAAATCTTTGTAACAAGCTCGTCTTAATGAAGCAGTACATTGATTATTACTTCATACGTGGCTGAGTAGAAGTCGATTTGCAAAATTGCTTCCTCCGCGTTAGTCGGTAATTGTTGTCTTTGGCAATAGAACTTGTTTGCTCCTTTCTAGAATATGCACTTTTCTGCATGTTTATCACTGAATTTATAAATGAGGCTTGTGTGAGATATGCGCTGAGTAGACAATCTTACTATTGTGCTATGAGACAGTGTGAGTATATTTCAGACAGGAGATCCTACAGGTAAAGGCACTGGTGGACAATCAATCTGGGGTGCGGATTTTGAGGATGAATTTCATCCACGGCTTCGACATGATAAACCTTTTAAGGTTAGATGTTCGTTTGCGAGTGTTTTTTGCAAGATCTGAGAAGTGTTTCTCGTTTGTTTCTTAAAGGTTTCTCATATCGTTTCTTAAAGGTGTCGATGGCAAATGCTGGACCAAATTCTAATGGATCTCAGTTCTTTATCACTGTCTGCCCTGCTGAATGGCTGGATGGAAAGAATACGATATTTGGAGAGGTAGGGGTTGGAAGAAATGTTATAACCAGGCTTACCTAGTGCTATATGGTAGCGTCTTTTGAGGTTCCTAGTTCTAGTCTACCTCACTTAGTCGAGAGTTTAAACTATTTGTGTTGACTGGATTTTCCATTCTGCAGAACTGGCCAGTGTTCCGGGACTTGGGTCCATACCAGCGACCCACATGTGTGCTGCGGGGCGCCTCTGGATACTGTGCCATAGGATTGGCGCGTGGTAGGTGCCCTGCAATATACATGGGATCGAATCCCACACTCCTGGACCACCAAGCCTTCCATCCCTCCAGGGTCGGCAAATTGGCACCAGTTTCGCCTAGAAGGGTAACAGCAGTGGTCCGATACATCGGTAGGCCACCGCGAGTTGATGTAAAGGCCAGAAATGCATCCAATCACCTCCAAACGTTGCTTAATGAAATCGTATGCAGCATCCCTAAAGGATTGGTCAGCGCTGAGAGCTTTATCGCTTTTTCTTTTTTCTACGTATATGGGGAACCTTTCGATAAATGTACATAGCGTTTAAGAATGTAGGAGAATCGGCCAGTTTTTTTTTTCAATTTTGTTCATTCGTACCGGTGAGAGGAGTGTATATTTCAAGATAAAGGAGACTTAGGGAAATGTTGCATACTCTTTACCCTTATGAGGTGTGACATGTGCCTAAACAATTTTTAAAACATTCCGTCCAGTTTATTGTGCTCAGGGTCATTGTTTATTCAAGGTCACCGAAGGAATGAATGTAGTGCAGAAAATCAATCAGGTACCGACATTTGAGAAGAGTGGACGACCACGCAGTGAAATCACAATAATGTCTATCACATTGAAATAGTTCATGCTATCGGATAATTTTGATGTTACAGTTTTCTGTTTATTTTTTCATTTTTCCTTGTTGAATTTATGACAAGCTATAAAATGATCTCTGTTTTGATGGACTGGTGGTGAATTTGTGAATCTTTTGCTACATGGTATTGTCTTGCTAGGTAACTATAAGATTCATCGCCTCTTTTTGTTATTAAGGGAGCATCCACTGGTGATGTTCTGCTCAGAATTTTATTTTCCGAATAGTGTGGACAGTAACATTGAGAAATGAAACAAAAAAGTGTATTCTGAATAAGCTATATATCTAGTATTTAGTATTCTGACTTTCTAGTAACTCCGTGTAATTAGCCCAGGTGTCCAACATGTATCCTTCGATATCTTCAGACCTAAATGGGTTCTCTATAATGAAGCACGAAGTGGATAGGTTTGCCACTATGTTTTTGCAAATGCGAGATTTCCGTTGTAGTCATTCTTTGAGCCAAACCATACCGTAATCCATTACGAGAGATATATAGTTGAAGTTGTCTTCAATGAGGGAGGTAGTGCGTGATAGTCGGTACTTTGCTGTATGTTCGGTGTCGCGTATGACAGAACAAATCTGGAATGTGTTGAAATTAGCACCAGAACACCTAGAGCGCTAGTGAATTTGAAATCTCCTAACTTGAGGAATTCCAAACCTGTCTTGAATCTCAATCTTGCATATGAGATCACCCTGGAAGTGTGATTTCGATGCGAAATCACCAAGACCGACCAACACTTCGAACTTCGTGTTAAAAACCGACTCGGTACGGTTCTAAATAACGAGTCTAACTTCCTAGTCTTACATTGTGCACGTTCAAATGGCCGCGTTATCCATTGAGACAAACTTTAGGGACCGAATTTTGCAAACAAGACAGATTCTTCGTTCATGGTTCATTAGTGGACGCTCAAAAGTGGGAACATATTGGCAGCAGGTTTGCTTCTAGAAGACGACGAAATGGAAGGAGTATCACTTTCGATACGTCGCTCTCAAAATTTTAGAGCCATTGTAGTCAGGAGCAACTATGGTGATGACCTGTATCAGAGCGGACACATCATTTCACCTGAATTTTTCATTGGGGAACTGGTGCAAGTTAAGAAGGCTAAGTCTTACGGATTGCCGAAGACGATGAGAATGTCTGAAGAGCTTCACATTTCGAACTATGGATTGAAGTGAATGGAGCAGAATGAGCCGCTGTCTATGTTTGTCATGATGACCGTGGTACCTCACCTCCTCTTAACATTGGAGGTGTTCTAATAGAGAATACAATATCGTAGTAGTCTTGGTAGTGAATGGATGGTTTTCCCTAACCGATAGCCTTTTTCTTCCAAAATTTCTCTGCAGAACTTAACCACCACCTTCGTGCAGGACTCTTTCTCCTTTTTCATAGGCAGCCGAAAAAAAGCCTTAATAAAGGAAGCCACAAAGCTACCGCAAAACGCAACTTATTCTCTTCTTTCAGTATGACTGGCCAGCCAAACGATAATGATATTCAAGCCTAAACTATGGAAATCAATACGTCATTTCCATCCCTAGGAACATTCTACCTTATATACCAACGTGGATTCACACAACCCGAAGACAGCTGGACATGAAATTCTTTGGGAACAAGCGTTAAAAAAAGGATATTAAAGATGGAAAGCATAACTATTGACTGGAGCAACAAATTTGAGCAGGAGCACCTGCAACACCCATCAAGATTTTTCCAGTTGCAAGGATTAGATTATCACCATTCGACACCCAAAAGTAACTGCTTCCAAAAAGGCAGTACGAAAAGTCGTTCTTAACTTGTGCCCAGATCTTTTCAACAGCCACATTCTTCTGTTCCCTTACTAAATCAAGGACCATGGATGTGTCGTCCTAATGGTTCTCTTCCAAAGTCATGCATGTTCTTCATCTTGTCGATGACAAATCGTAAAGCAAGCCAACCGGGTATGATTAGACCCTAACATCTAAAAAAAACCCTACCTCTAGTCCTTATATAAATGCTCACTCGGTTTTTCTTACGTTATCTATCAGAGTGCAAATCGCCTAGTTAACGGAGAGCCAGCAAGACCATGTTGTTTCACAGGGAAACTCACATGACATAAGGACCTATCGCCAATCTGCGTGCTATTCTTGTCTACAAAGTCTTTGTTCAACTTTTTTTTAAAAAACATTGGCAGGACGCTGGGCAAAGATCAGCGATCCGACAAACCAGTGTTTCAAAAAAGTCGGAAGGCATTCACGCAATAAAATCTTATTGGAGTAACTCGAGAAGCCGACGATGTTAAACATTCTGGAAGTCGACTTCCAAANAACGGAGAGCCAGCAAGACCATGTTGTTTCACAGGGAAACTCACATGACATAAGGACCTATCGCCAATCTGCGTGCTATTCTTGTCTACAAAGTCTTTGTTCAACTTTTTTTTAAAAAAACATTGGCAGGACGCTGGGCAAAGATCAGCGATCCGACAAACCAGTGTTTCAAAAAAAGTCGGAAGGCATTCACGCAATAAAATCTTATTGGAGTAACTCGAGAAGCCGACGATGTTAAACATTCTGGAAGTCGACTTCCAAAAAGTTTAACCTCATCAAGTCTGCAAACCTGTAAATTGTTGGCTAGTTTTTGCACATTGCAGCGATTCCATTTGCCATCTGAAGTGAGCTCATCGAACACTTGTTTCATTACCTGTTCAAGTCTAGAGTTGCAACACATGAATCCTGGAATTGTGTGTTTACTATAATAGGAACTTATAACTAGTTTTTGATGGTGTTTTTTTTGGTCAGTCACTAGTTATCTTTTGGGTTAAGGAGTTGCTAAAGTGCCCTAGTTCACGTGAAGGGTATCCTGCCTGTAAACAGATGTTTTATTTACACTATAGAATTTAATTCTGCGAAAAATTATTAAGAAAATTTGCGCGAAAAAAAACTGGAGTCACAATTTTAACTTTTCATTTGTTGCCTACTGTAATTTTTCATGGCAGGATGTTATATGAAATACAACCATTATGATGCTGAGATATTTGCCAAACTCCGTACGCGCATGGTGTGGTGGTGAACGCGTAAGCCACCGAAGAGGGTAATAGCGTGTTCTATCCCCCCGATGGCACCTGTGGTCCAGAGTTTTGAAGATATCTCAGCGTCATTATGGTTGTATTTCACAAAAGCTGGAGTATTATTTGCATTGTACATCACCATCGTTGGCTCTCGCTTACTCATCACGTTTTCGATCTTCAAACGGTATTGATAGAGGGCGAAAATGAAGTTGATTTCTTCGTTGCCATTACTGTATGTTAAACTGTATGTTATACAAAATGATGCGTAACAATGAATAGTAACACCTCGCGTTTGCTCAACAAAATGATACGTTGGCAGCCTGATGCAAGATGGCTAGAGCGGTGCTATGCTCCTCAGCATAGGAATAGAATGCTTTTTTTAGATTGCTCGACATCATGCAGGAACAAGTCACTTAGAGTGAGGATCCGTTATGGAAGAAAAATTCCTCTAAGACAAACCACTGTCATTTGTGTAGCACTGTGGGAGAGGATACTTAGGAATTTGTCGAGCGTATGCCAGATGTGGCTCGATTTCATCAGGAGGTGGAAATGGTCGCTCTGGCAGAAGATAACGTGTTGAATCGGCATCGCTGAGAAACTGCAACGCATCCGTTTATGGATGGTGAGGAAAGCTAAACTTGTAAATGTATCAAAATAAGAAAGGCAATCCTGAAGGCCACAATAATTTGTTAGCACAGATAATTTCCGACATTTGTATACTTAGAATCTGAAGACTTCACAGACATTGATAAGTGTGCCAACTCGCTGACAGGCTGTATTTCGTTTCTCTAGGAAATTGTTTGGATCAGACTTGTTAAAAAGTCGAAGAAAAATTTCAATCGCAAAAGGTCTGCAATAGCCGGAAGTATCCACGACAAGATCGAAAGCATTATAACATCCTGCAGAAGGAAATCCCACTTATTAAGTCGCTTTGATACTAAAAATAAGAGCTTTCAAGAAGGCTGGTGAGAAAGTGTTTTTGGATCCCAGAAGTCAAAATTTCATTGCAGTGAAATGAGAAGAATTACATTTTGTTAACAAGAACTTCTACATTTTAATGGATTTTTTCTAATGAGTAGCATTCATTATGGGACCAGATATATTTGTTCGAAGCTAAAAGGTTAATGTTAACCCTTTATTTTCTGCCTAATATAATTTTTCATAGCAGGGTATTATGCGAAGTACAACCACAACGATGGTGAGATATTCACAAAACTTAAACTGAGTTCAATGCCAATTTGTGCTTCCCAGATCAATCCTGCTGACGGGTGATTGCTACTTGCAGTGTTAGGTAGGAAACTATCTGAGAGAATTGCAGAGCAAGGGCCTCCGTGGTGCGGCGTGTAGTAATGCGTGGCGTGAGCCCCGGAAAGGGAAATCGTGGTTCGATCTGGCGCGGGATCCAAGTTTTGCGAATAACTCAGCATCGTTGTGGTTCTAAACGGTTAAATCGTGATATTTGTAGCCACGAATGAGACATATGGATTTCTCTTGTCTCAAATGTGTTAAATATCTTGCTAGGAAAACATGCACATTAGATTTGATAGGATCGGAAGAGCAACTGCAAATCGGCTGGTTCAGTGCTGTTTGTGACTGCAGTTCGGTATTGGTTAACACATCTAAGCGGTAAATAAAGCCGGAAATTATAATCCTCCTAAAAGTTAGTTTGGGTTGATAAGGTTCTTTGATCGTCTCCTCATATATGGGTAATTGCTGTATAGGGAATGTCCCCCGCTTCTATAACCCGGTTATACATTGTGCTACACATTGAACTAGAAACTGTCGTACATTTTTCCAAGCATACTGTAATTTTTTACAAGATAAACTTTATTGCTTCAAACTGTTTAAAAAATAGGAATTGAAAAGCTTTTCTAAATCACCTCTTTCTGGAGCGTGTCTCTAAGAAAACCTTCTTTAACCAGCACGTTCGAGTTTTCCACTGCATTTTTCGAGAACATCTTGTTATCATCTTCTTCTTGTCCAGTTCCCAAGTGATTGCGGTTTACTGTAGACCAAAAGTTGTTTAAGAATACAAGAAAGTGAAATGAGAAGGATTTTACGTACTTGGCTGATAATTGTCCCTTTGTGGTATCACGAATGGCGGTCTAATAAAGACTGGTCTTCCAAATATGTACACCTTGGTGATAGGAGTGTTGTTCGGTGGGAAACTGTACTGCTGGGGAAAATTATTAGTGGACGTAGCGTTTTCTTTTCATCGAATTCTCATAATAGAAAGGAACCTTCTCTCAAAAAGAAGGAGGATCTGAACTTATGAGCCAGAAATCCAAAGTACTGCTCACCTGAATTTGTTCAAAGTTGGTGACGTCGGTCCGAGAACTCTTCTCTGCTTGTTGCGAGACAATCCATGTAGTAAAGTAGAAAACGATTCCTCGTAACATTCTCAATTAGTGGGATTCTTAAAATAATAAGCTATTCACATTACGGCTAATTGTCGTTCTTCCCTGCTAACTGTGCGCGTGTACGTGATAGTCCAGTTAATTGTGACGTCTTACTAAGGATAATCGTGATCACTTTGTTAAAGCGATTTTAATACTAGGAGTTATGAAATGATTGCTTGCAAATACACTTAATCCTAATGGATATTCATCTACTGAAACTACATAGGTAATCTAGTTATGTTAAAAGATAGAGTTAACTGGATGTAGTTAAGTGTGAAAGGATAAAAAAGGATGAAGCTCTCGGCGTTCATCAATCCCTAAGGGTTGCGCCATGCAGCCGACTTCACTAAGCATCGTCAGAGGCGATTGAACGCATATCTGGCCTTTATAATGACTCGCTGTGGCCTACCGATGTATCGGGCCAGTGCTGCTATCCTCCTAGCCAAGTGTGATGACAATTTATCGACCCCGGAGTGATGAAAGGCTTGGTGAGCCTGGAACACGGGGATTGATCCCATATGTGTATTGGGTAATAGCGTGTTCGATGCGCCTCCGACCAATGCGCCACACTCACCGTTACACTGTACATAGTACGTAGTTCAGTTTAAACTAGTAAATTCAGCTCGTTAATAATGTGAAGTATTAAAACACTTTATATCTTTTTAGTAGGAGCAGTAACACACAATGAACATGCTGTTGGGGTAGTGATTCAGACATCTCTGAATTGGCCATTGATGAGAGACTAAGTAGATATTCAAAAATTGTTCAAAAATCAATGCTTAGAAGCAAAGGAAAATTTTTTTATTTCCTGAATAGATATTTAAAACGTTAACTCTACCGTAGTCGATTGGATTCCACATTTAATTCGTGGACAATCGGCATTGTAATAACAGGAGAATTTCCTCATATCGGGAAATGTACACAAAATTTAACCAAAATAACGCTATAGTTCAATACGACTGCCAGGGATATAGCATTGTTGTCATTCAGAAGGCCATTTATAGTCATTTATAGTGGCCCTAGAAACAGGTTCTTAGGAAGTCACTTGCGGAGTCATGCTGGGCAAATTCCGGCCACTAATGTGGTACGGTATACTGTTCCCAAATCTGGAGGGCAGTCGAATAGTGGATGTGCCGGTGATTATCCCAAGAGTTATTGAAGACTAACGGTTCGCATGTGGATAGCGCATGAGCATTCCATTGATAAATTATTCGTCTTCAATTTTTTCAAGAGTTCTCGTTCAAATTTTCATAACGCAACGAAGATAGGATTCCTTACCTCCGAAGTCGACAAACTGCTACCAGTCCTTATCTGGAGAACAGCAGCACTAAGTTGGTAGAACAAAAGGTCATCGCAAATCATCGAATAGCTATGTATGCGTTCAGTCACCTCCTATCGTGCCAGGTGAACTCCGTGCGTGGGGTATGCCTCAAGGATTGATCATTGCCGAAAATTTCATGCTTTTTTTGCCAGCGTAGGAATAACATTCACTAATCACAAAGTAGTGTATTCAGTTTGGCCTAGTTAGCATTTATTGAAGCCACTATTTTCTCTTCTAGAGGTGGATAATTTGTCCCCAGAAACAAGCAAATGTGAGCAGAAATGGTAAAGTGTGAACTAGTATAGTAAGAACTGGAGACGAATTAGTTATGAATCACTCGATTTACGAAGAGTAGCCTGCTCAGATAACCTGTTTTTGTACCGCCAAAAATATACGTTGGGTAGAAATTGCTCATGAATACAGTCGAAGTTGACCGCGAGGATGAGATGGCCGACGTTACTTAAAATGCGACGACCGAAAACGACGTCATGGTTCCCGTTTGAACACAACAGTTTGTCAGACTTGCCAATTCCTTTCTTGTTCCTTCTCACCGATGCACAAAGCGCGAAAATTCTTCAGTTTTAGAGACAATATCGAAGTGTCGCTTTTCCGGCTCGTCCGCAGGTTTCTTCGACATCACCATTGGCTGTGAGGCATCACGCCGCATTGTCAAGGAGTTATACTCCGATATTGCCTCTAAAACTGCGGAGAATATTTCTGTTGCTTTGAGCTGAAGGAACAAGTGCGTTCTCAGACAAAAAGTGGTCGTTTTTTGTGCCATTTAGAAATTCGAATCTAGACATCGATCGTAAGAAATAGGAAATGGAAAAAATAAGCATAAGAAATACCGAACGTTTTTCTTTTTCAGGAAGATTTCACCTTCTACATATCTTTTGTTTAGTTGCTATTTAAGCAAGGGAAAAAAGCAAGAACATAAAGGAATAGAGAATATGTGTGGGAATTTTGTTAAAGAATGGTAGAAGCTCCCGATCGAGGATCTTGCACTATCCGCAGCTAAGCTTTCGCTTCTTACACTTGTTACTTTACTTATACCTATTTCACCCTCATATTTTTATTACACAACCATTTTTCACGTCTATTTTGCGGAACTCATCACTTCTTGCATTCGATTCGTTTCTCCGCATCACTCATTCACTCATCCACAAAGGTGTTCAAAATTGGTTCGGCTTCCGCTTGAATATTTTCCTTTCTACATGAATGCCCTTGAGCGCTGACCTAGTTGATTCTCCCTGGAGCCGTGGAGCAATCGACTAAGCCACCACTCAAAGGCAGTAGCCCGGCGTAAACGTTCCCACTCGGGCTGCACAGGGTTAACGTTTATCGGTCAAGTCCCATATGAATCTCCCTACCGCGAAGGGATGAAAACATTCGTGAGCTCAAGGTGGACGTCTTTTTTGTAAATGGCCGTATAATTGGTAAAATATCTATGAAACTAAATCAGTAACCTGTTCATAATGATCGGCAAAGCTGTGCCCGCCCCACCTATAATTTCCCTATTAAATCACGGCTTCTAATGCTTTTTTGTAAGGGGATCAGGTGGGAGTTAGAGGTGCCCTGCAATATACACTAGATCATTCACTTTTCCGATTTCGTGCTCTGCACGCGCAAGCCATTTTGGGACGGAAAATTTTCCTACCAGACTTGCCCGAGAGTATAGCATCACTGGGCGGGCGATCCCAAGACATTATATAGGCGAGATTTGCACTCAGTTCCGTCGGTAAAGCTTGATGAAATTAAATGCATAGCACATTCTTCAAAGATTGAACAACGAAACCCCTTATGTTCTTTCCTTTGTTTTTGTGGTTTTAATTTTCATTAGCACTTAGTATGTGTAAAACTCAACTTCCATATGAGAAGGGATGTTGCAAGGTGACCTATGAGTTCCTCCAAGTGAAGGATTTTGACTGCGTTATACTGCTTTGTGCAAGTTCATTCCATCACAGAAAGAACTTTTAGAAGACAGAAAATCGATTGAGCTAAGAGGTTCTATACGATGTTTTGTATAAACCAGTTTATAGGCATGTGTGGTTGGAGATGCGCTGTGGCTCCACCTTAAAGGTGCATAGTGAATTTGAACGATGACGACACATCACTAGTAAATTGATGATTGCATCTATCAGTTGTTCCATTGCAAGTGATTTTAGCTACACACCGATACGGAACGATAGAATCAACCTCCACTATTAGCTGCGATGAATCCATAATCGTCTCCTGACCACAGCAAGCTGGTGATAAAAGAGCAGAATTACGTAACTTTCATTTGTCATTCCAAAGCATCTTTAACTATTGTGCTACACGCACATCCTTTTAGTGTAGAATTTCATACATTGTAGGTTCTCAGAAGTCGTTCAAGAAATGAAAAAAGGTGATATGTTAGAATTGAAGTAGAAGAATTGAGAAGCGGCATTTGCATTTCAATGAGTGGAAGAACTGTTTCACTTTCAACGAATCAAGAATGACACATGACTATTTAACAAAAATTAGCCGTTAAATATTCTTATCTGTGGAAGAAGTGTGGACTGGCGGGTACCTCTAACCACTAAGCCAAGTGTGCCTTTTTCACCTACATATATAATTCACCTGAATCCTGTCTTTTTTTATTTCAATTTATACGACCCGTCTTCACATCTACTGTGTGGATCCCGGCACTTCTCACATTGGATTCGTTTCCTCGCATCCATTGTCCACGAAAATCTTCCAACTTTCACGTGTGGCTTCGGTTGCTGCCTGAGGATTTTCATTTCATCTTCAATATCGTAAAATGCTGGTTGAGGCGATGTAGTCCTAAGATAGCAAGGCTGGAGGAACGTTCACAATTGGATTGGAGAGAGCGATTTTTCACAGACGTCTGGTACCAATTTCCCGATCCGGGGGCATTAGAGGCTTGCTAGGTCCGGAGCGGAATCGAACTAGCACCATGCTCATGATGACGGACATCATACCACGGTGCTATCCGCCATCTTTGCGTCATATCTAATCACATTAATTTTTGGATAGAGCGAGTGGGTAGTTCTAAAATCTTCATTCGTTCAAGTGGATCGGCACTTATACTCAATAAACGCAGCTTCCTCGAGATGGGCGAAAAACACCATACTTTTCATACGATATCCCTTTATTTCTACTGTTCTTGACCAGAAGAAAGCTGTTGATTATCTTACTCATTTGGATGCGCAAACAACACTTTTTCACGAGAAATGCGGCCCAGCACATTTTGCATTCAATTTTTCCAAGCAGAGTCGTCGCGCTTTGTGGTGGTCTGCTTCGAACATGGTGACGCTTGCGAGACACATTCTGTAATTCGTGGACCATTTGCATCTACAGATGCAGATGGTCATTCTACACAGCGCTTGCATTCTCTTAGAGTGCACTCCACTGTTTTTTTTCGTTTATTTGTCATCCCTTATTCTTAATATATGACCGGGTGATGATCTGAACTGCGCATTCCGAATAAACGTTGCGAGTACTGTTCCTGTTTGGCGTACTTATTAATTCAAAGTTGCGAATGATATGAAACTTGAGCGTTACGACTTCGTAGAGATCTTAGCTCAAGTTTGCTAGACATTTTAGTTCAGTAAATTTTCTTCTTTTTCCATTTTTTGTACTGGATTTAGTGCTCGGATGATGAAGTGCTGCCTCTTGTGTAAGTTGTAGCTCTGTTTCTGCACTATCGAAAGCACTGCGGAAACGAGGAGTACTACCGAGAACAACATAGGAAACGTGCCTCTAATTTTTTATGTACTCGTATAGCACTCATATATATTGAAGTCACATAAAATGCTCCAACAAAAACATAAACTATGATTTTGCTCAACACAGTCAAGCGTCTACATTTATCTTCTACCTTTCACTAGTACTGAGAAGGACCCCATTCACAAAAGACTACACCGTGGCGGTAAGTGGCGTGCAGATAAGTAACGATATTGTTGGACAAAGGCTGTTATTCATCAATGGGCGTTTTCTAGAACTGTATTCTTACCGTATTTCTCAACTTCGACTGATTACCAGCATTTGCTGGATACAAGAATCACACTGTGTGCTTTTCAGTTTGAAAAAAATTATATTTTCTGAATGAAACGACGATGAGACGTCGAATTCAGATAGGAATCATCAATTTCTAAGGAGAACATAATAGGTAAGCAACACTTGGTTACGTTATAGACAGAATGACTGTAGCTCACTAGTATCGTCTGGTATATTCGGCGACAGATGATGGCAGAACGATTAGAAATTGCAAATGGAGTGGCGGAAAAGACGGAACTCACTCCGGCGACGAGCGAACGTCCTGTCAAGGACGCCCCGTCGCCGCGCAT